TTCTTTTCAGTTAGCTTTAAAGCTACAGCTCATGTAGTTTTACATCTGTGCACTTATTCAGAATAAACTTCCATTATCATGTTTTAAACCATGGATGTCAAACTTGGATGTGACATGTTTTGTGACATTTTTCCCATTTGTGGGGGTGGGGGTGGGCATGGCCTACACATGATGCATTCAGCCCATAGGCTGCCAGTTTGACACCCCTGTTTTAAATGGGCAGAATTGAAACTTATCAAGTTATCAATTCTATCCATTTATCCAGCTCTCCACAATTTCTTGTGGAACGTATATATTTGTTGGAGAGGACTACAACAAAATGGTAGTATAGCTTTGCCTTTTCTTTGTTATTGATTTAGTTTTTGCCATGTTCACTGAGTAGCAGGTAGTCCTGGAAATGTGACCATAATTTAGCCCAAAATTTATGTTGCTAAGTCAGACATTTGTTAAGTGAGATTTGCCCCATTTTACAGCTTTTCTTGGCACAGTTGTTAAGTGATTCTCTGTAGTTGTTAAATTAATAATATGGTTGTTAAATGAATCTGGATTCCCACTGACTTTGTCAGAAGGTTGCAAAAGGGGGATCACATGACCCTGGAACACAACAACACAAATATGAGTCAGTTGCCAAATGGCTGAATTGTGATCACATGACCAGGTGATGCTGCAATAGTCATAAGTGTGAAAAACAGTCATAAGTCACTTTTTCAGTCCCATTGTAACTTTGAACAGTCATTAAATGAACTGTTGTAAGACAAGGATTACCTGTACTGATTATTGTCTATTAATTTTATTCTGAACATATTTGAAGAAGGTCATTTGGACAAAGCCAACCATTGAATCCAGAGCTTCTGTAGAATGATACACAAAATTTGTGTTGTGATCTCACCCAAGCAATAGCCCTCATGTATTTGTATGTAACAGTGGCACACATAAAGGTCCTATGCCTACACACATTTCATCATTTCCCCCTTGTTCTTGTTCTGCTTCTTTTGTTCTTCACCAAACTCAACTCAGTTCTACAGTTCTCTACAGTTCCAGATAATTTATCTGTATTCTTCCTTAGTGACTATCCTTCCTCTTCATCCAAATTGCCTCTTCTGCTGTCTTATATTCCTTTTCTTTCTGGAATTCTTTGTGATAGTGCTCTTAATGTTTGCTTTTTTAAGGAGCCCCCCACTCACCTTATTTTCCCATCAGGTTTCCTGGCATGAAATCAATTTATAGTTGTTCCGACTTCCTTAAAACCTACCTTTTGAAGTTCAAGATAGTGCACACGACCACTTCCTCTTAATGCTCTTGCTAGTCTACTTCTTCAATTAAGTCTTCCCTGTTAATTGTTACAAAACAATCTTTCTCAACTGGAATTCCAGGGAATTTAGGGTTCCATGAGAATCAGGTTTGAAAAAATATCAACATAGTTTACAAATAGCACATGTTGTAAGCTGTAAATATAATCACTTTTATGCAGGAGTTCCTGAAATACTATTTCCTCTAGAGTTAAAAGCAAACTTGACAAAAATTGGTATACCATCAAAATTAGTTAATTCTTTTAGGCCTTCATCCCCTGAAGGAGGAAGTTGTCTACAAGACAAACCTAGAATTTCCTGTAAAGACCATGCTTCTTTATTCCCAACAGTAATTTGACTCCTTAGTATTATAATCATTAATACTATAAACTTTTTGAAAGGATTTGCAATTTGCTTTTGGAAACCATCTTCTGATTCTTCACTTTTTAGATGGGGAACAGGAAATATAGCCAACAATGGTGATTAATTAATTCATCCACTTAACCCAGATGCTTCCTGCAATATCTTAAAGTTTATTCATTGAGTTTTAGCAGCTATTGCTTTACTACACTGTGTAACTTGTTCTACTACTTCTGCTCATTTTAAATAATTATATTATTTGACTTTTATGTCCCAAATATAGGAATCCTCCAATAGGTTTCTGTTCTATTGATTACTTTATATTTGCCTTCCTGTGCTAAGAATTCCACCTCTCTTGTTTGATTTCTGAAATACTAAACATCAGCATGTGGGGAACAAAAATCTTGAGTCAATATTCTTTTAAACTTTTTTTTCCCTACTGAGTGGATTAATTGTCTCCATTACTGCAACATTCCTATTACCTACTACAATACCGGAGCTTTATCTTAACTTTTCAGTTAAGGATTTTCATCTTAGTTAAAGTTTCATTTGAAAGGTCTCCTGATAAAACTCTCCATATTTAAAGTGAGCCATTTTTCACCCGTCCTTCATGAGGTGTTTATTCTGGGCCATAATTCAGACAATGGATCCAAAATCGAAATCCTGCCAACATGATTTACATAACCAATCATCCCTCTTCTTCTTTCCTTTGACTTCCCTTATAAACCAAGATCATCCTTTAAGTTTCTTGAGCTTCCTTCCTGGCTCTGCCAAATTTATGGCAAACCACAGTTGGGGTTTGCAATATTTTTGTCCTTCTGTGGATTAGCAGTAAGGAACAAATATGTATGGAGTTGATCATCCTTGGCTGTCAAATCCTGATCCATGCCCCAGGCAGGCAGCACACTTCATAAGTACCTAGGCGAGCCTGATCAACACTCATCATATCAGTTCTTATATAGTATTCATGTAGCAGTGAGTCACTACCTTTTTGGTTGTCTACTTGCAGGACACAACTGTTTCTCCTGAGTTCTTTAGGAATCAATTGTCTTCTGTCCTATATTGTATCTTTTTGTTCCACTCAAGGCCCAGACCCAGCCTCTTCTGCAGAACACACCAAACCACAAATTAGCCAACTACATTTTAACTTAGATGTAGATGTAGATAAATTTATTTATAACTTAGAACAGTGATGGTGAACCTTTTCGGCACGAAGTGCCCAAACTGGAACACACCTACATGCAGGCACGTGTGTGGGTGATGGAAAGTGCCAGCCAGCTGTCTTGGTTTCCAGGATGCGCATGTGCACCGGCCAGCTGGTCTTCGCATGGGCCAAAGCACCAGAAACCTGAAGACCAGCTGGCCAAGGTGCACATGCTTGGTTTTTTGGGCTGTTTTTCATGCCATTTTCAGACCATTTCCTGGGCCCAAAAAATGACCTGAAAATGCCCCCAAAACAGCCTGAAAATAGCCTGGAAAACAGCCAGAAAAATGGCCTGAGATAGGCCCAAAAACAGCATGTTTTTTGGCCATTTTCTGGCACTCTGGCCCCTTGAAGACCAGCTGGTTAGCACTGGAAACCAGAAGAGCAGCTGGCGATGGTGTGTGTGCCCACCGAAACGGCTCTGCATGCCATCTCTGGCAGGCATGCCATAGGTTCGCCATCAGGGACTTAGAACATTCTGCAAATCCATCTACTGATTCTAGGCACAAGAGCTCATGGTGCATGCACTGATAGGCTCTTCCTGGTTGACTGTTTATCTTCAGCTGCCTGAAATACTTATATTTCACTTTGCATAAGGATAAGAACACTAGATAGGAAGAAAACCAATTGTACATGCATGTATATAATATATACATATACCATGCATAAACACACACACACAGGCTGCTATGGTAAAATAGCACACTGCTCCTGAAATAACTTGCTCTAGTCTACATGAAAGTTATTTCAGGACCAGTGGGCTACAATAACAGCCTGATTACTGTTTTAGTGAGGCTGCTGAAAGAAAGAAAAAACTGTTTGAGAACATTAGTAAATGCATTCCTTTTTAAGGTGATGTCACAAGCTGTAAATGGAGTTTTTGTTTGAAATTGAGGACACCTGTAATAATTGCAAACATTTATTAGCACAGGGCTATTGATCCTCATCATTAGTCTCATTATGGAGGTAGCCAGCAAAATGAGAGCAGAAAGAAGGATTACATGGAAGCGGTGCATTAAATTTGCTTTATGGATGACTGTTTTACTTTATTGGGTAAAGTATTGATTTGTTTGTGTTTTTGTGTGTGTTTTAAATTTGTAAACGTGTCTCACTTTGTATGTAGAATATAAAATGTTACATTTGTTTTGGACCAGCTTCTAAATTCTGTTATGTGTTGTAATAGTACAGTTATCAGCCCTAATAGGATAACTGGAAATATAGTAGTTTAGTAAATAAAGTTAATAAGATTGTGGTTGTGCTTGCACAACATACTAAATCATAAAGCACTGTTTCTAAACCACAATGGCAAAACTGAGGTTTCTCCCCCAACTTTCATAATTTAGCAATTAAAACTTATTGCGAGGCCACAATTTTTCCAAGGTGTAATATTCTAAAGAAAATTTACATTTTTCACTAAATATAAATGACTTAATTTAAAATGCTTTGCTTAAATGTTTCCTTTTCCTGTAATTCATACTATTTAACTATAATTTTTCAGCCCTAGAATAAGTAATATATAATGACCTGATTCACTTGCACTAAACATGGTTTTTCTGAATTTGTATATACACAGCTGTGTTTTTTTTTAATAAACTCTGTTTAAATTGGTATAATGTAATGCTTAAGATAGCCTTGAGTATTTTACAAACAGTGGGTGGCTTTGCTATGATCCTTATAGAATATTTTCCTAGAAAAATCCATACAGATCTCCTTTTTACTGCTATTTTTTAGAATTAATTTCTTTTAAGAATATAGTAGCCTGATTTCTTCTACACTATTGATTTATGTGTGAAATTCTAAACATCCCTCCTAAAACTTTAAAAAAGTAAAATTTGTTATATCATGGCTTGTTTAATATGTACTGAATAATCCATGAACCACAGAATGGATTAGAAACCAAACAAACCACATAATGACCTAGCTTGATGTTTAAAGCCTAGCCTTGGTCAGAAAGGGTTAACTCTACTATGAGCTTGGAACAAATGTCTGTGCAAGTAACAGTCAAGATTTTTAGCTATACTTCTTTCCCTTGCATGACTTTGAACATCCATGTTACAAATAGTTTGAAATTAATTTGACTAAAAATACATTTGCCTTCATGAAGAATAACCTCTAGCTATTTTTCTTAATTATGCTTTAACCTGTAGGTTGCTGGAGTTGTGTTAATAATCACAGGTGTGTGTTTTCAAGTGAAACTCCACAATGCTTTTCTCGTACTGAATGAAGCTGCTTCAGGAGTAGCTGTGACCATAACAGTTATTGGTGCGCTTATTATCATTCTGTCTGGCTTTGGAGCAATTGCTTTATTCAGCTCTAACAAAGCTATGATCAAATTGGTAAGTGCAATTCAAATATTCAATTAAATACAACATAGAACATGTATAGAGTTAATCATGATTTGTTTAATGCATCTCAATGTGGTTAAGATTGAACCTCAATCTTCTTTGGAGTTGCTAGATGCCATAGCAATATCTCCTTAAGTTCTGATTCTTTCACAGATCAGCTCTTAAGGTATGACTGGACTAAACCCATTGCAGTCCTGAGCTCATATACATGGAAACAAATTGTATTCTGGTGTCAAAAAATTAAGCTAGAAATTCTGTATATATAATTGTCCATTATTGAGTGGTAGTAAACCAATGTTTAATATATTTTTATTTGAATTGACTATAAAAATTCTATTTTGTAAGAAGCTACAATTATGTTAGATGGTTGTATGCCATTTATATTCCAGTTCTGTTAATGTGTTGGGGAAAACTATCCGATTATGCTGCTTGTTGATTTTAGTGCTAATATGCCCCAAAATATGTTGGCCTGGAAATGAAAGCATATAAAGCAGTCACTATATAACCAAAGCCAAGTTTTTACCATGTATGGTTCTGGTGGCTCAACTTGGACACAATCGACCTCTCAGTTACAACTCTTTCTAATGGTGACTTCATCATTTTGACCTATCTGAGAAGATAAGTGACCGCAATAATGGATGAATGTTGTGTTTGGCTTTGCAGTTGTCCCAGAGTGAGGTTGATATACCAAGTAGGCTAAGAATTGGACCTCTGAATAAGAATTAGGGATGGATATAGAAGGGTAAAAATAACAGTCCTGTGTTCTAAAAAGCAATTCTGATAAATTGCTGGCTTTTAAACTAAACAATTCTCTCCCCCCCCCCTCTCACTAGTTCACAGGTTTACTGGTGTTGCTCTTGATCACTGAAATCCTAATTGTTGCCACTGCCTATGCGTGCAGACTAAAGGTAAGGTTTGGGAAAGAAGGTTTCTGGTTCAAAACCCAAGTCTTATCTTCAAACTGGAGGGGAGGCAAAATCTTTTGCTTCTTGAGGTGTGCATTCTCAAAAGAAATGGAGAATTGCCATAATGGGAACTAATACTTAATTTCTGCTAGCTACCTGTATGTCCAGTACAGCATTCTGGACTTTGCCATTTCCTTAACAAAGGATGGGGTTTTTTTTGGTCTTCTCTGTCACTCTAAAATAGAGAAATGGAAAGAGAGGAAGTGGGTGACAAGATTTATACAAACAATGATTATCTGTTAGCTAATATTGTATGATCAGTTATTTTCCAAATCACTCTGGCAGACGAGGCAACTGCAATGGAGAAGAGCTTGACCTGATGTGTAATTTAATATTCAACTGATAATAGTTCTATGCTAAAAAAATATAAAATAGAATAGGGGGGTGCAGTGTCAGTTGGCTGCTTTTTTCTGCAGAGTTAAGTACCCCAACGTTAAAAAGTAATTGACTAGAACAAGCTACCTTAAAAGGAACACCACTGCCAATCATGTCAGGATACTGTTCAGAACTTGCAGATAAAAGACATCTTTTAACATTATTTGATTTCAGATGAAGCAATCACCTTCTCTTCAAAATAATAATTGATTAACCTAAAATATAAATGGCTTTTCATTGCTATCAGTGGTGCAGTTTTAGAATATAGTTCATATGTCAATTGGATTCACAGCAAAAGGAGTATAAACAACTTCGGGTCATTTGTAAGCATAAAGATTTTGAAAATTGTATGTTCTAGAATTTCCATTTTCTTTCCTACCCAACAACTGAGAAAAGGGTAAGTAATATTTAGTTACTTCAATTTTAAGAATGTTTAATTCAGCCCCCCCACCCTACTAGAGTATTAAATTCCCAAATGTTTGGGGAGGCAGAACAGGAGAATAATAATTATCTATGAAATCAACTTGCCTCATCTTAAACTTCCAATACAATCTATGGAATAGTTAATTATCCTATATCTCCACAGCTACACCAGACTATATCCAAGGATTTCATGAGGATACTGAACAAGTATGATAACAAAGTGCAGATCACCAAGGGGGTGGATACTCTCCAGGCAGAGGTAAGGAATCTCCCCCACCCCAGGAACAACTGAACCTAATTTAAGGCAAACATTGATAGCACGAATTCTCACTTGCATTAGAGAAACAGCTTAGAAATTAAATGCTGATTCTAGTACATAGGCTCAAACCTTTAGAATCAGTGTTGCTGCTGCCACCGTTTTGTTGTTTTACAATTTAAAAGTTTGAACTACACAGTTTGATTAGACTACTGATCTGTATTCAGAGGCAGGGTTTCTAGAATCTCACTGGGCTAAACTGGAGCTAACTAGCAAATGGCTCACTGCCCTTGGTCTCAAAACATGTTTTCCAACTCAGTTAAAAGTTCAATATATTCTGCAGCTGGGTGATTACTGGGTAATGTTCAAAGGGAATGTTCAAATAGAATTGCTCCAAGTAAATCATCTCTGTGGATTTTATTTTTCATGCCTGTAGATATGTAGGGAAAATGACATGGGCATCACTAATGTGAATCTGAGTTGCGTCTAAGAAAATGTATAAGAAAATGAGAGTTTTCCAGAACTGCAAAGCCTTTTGGAATTTTGTCCAAGAGTCTTGTTCTCCATTTATCTACTACGGATGTTTAGATTAGTTACTTAGCTGTTGTTGAGGCAATGTAAACCAATATTTTGACGATTCCAGAAGACATTGTAAATATTTAGTGAGGATGACACTTTTCTTATAGGGAAAATTGGAGTGGTTTACAATTCCAAAATCTAACACTAGTAGGGAAACAAAGAAAGGAAACTATCTTCTATTATCTGTATTGATTACATCATGTTTTCATCTTCCCATTGTCAAGAACTTTAAGAAAGATGTATGGCTAGACTGAGCAGAAAATCTCTGCATTTAGTTAAGGAAGTGAAGCTAGTGACTCATGAGACCCTATATTCTCTGTTACCAACTCATATGCTTTCCTCCCTACTGTAGTTTCAATGCTGTGGTGTGGAGAACTATACAGACTGGCAAAACACAACCTTTGGACTGCTCTCTTCATCTGTCCCCAAAAGCTGCTGTAAAGTGCCCATGGAAAGCTGTGTTACTGATCTAAACCAAAATATAGTTGGCATTAATCAGGAGGTAAAACTCCATATTGCCATCATTCCTTTTGTTCAAGGAAGGATGCATTTGAATCTAAAGTGCTTTTAAATTGGTTACGGTTTTTACTGGAAATATATTGCAAAATGAATTAAGTAAGGAACCTTCTTGTTCAGGATGATTCCTTCCTAGTTGCTACATCTATGTAGTGATGATAGAATCTAACTCATGACAAATCTTGGTTTTAAGTGGATTTTTTTGCTAAATACCTGCTCTGATTAGAACTAGTCATTAAAAAAGGAGTAGAACCACTATAAACCCTCAATCCCAAAGTAAGCATAACATCTAACATTTATAGTCTATGCCTGTAGGTTCTTCCTTATGGCTTTCTAATGGTTTATCAATTTAATTGTTGACTGAATTTAATTTGATTAGCTTTTAAGAAACATCAATTGCAGTTATTAGAATGCATTCCCCACCTTCTTTCTCAGGGCTGTCTTCTAAAACTAAAGACCTGGACTGAAAGAAACATCTCTGCATTGGGAGGACTTGCAGTATTTGTAATAGTTGGTCAAGTAAGTATAAAAGACTTAAATAAAGAACTATATAAATAGCATTTAGTGCTTGGTTGGAGAGACAAATCAGAATGCCCAGACTTTCAAATAAATTTTTTTAGGGATCCTTAATACTGTTTCACTTGTACAATCGCTCTATCACGCTATTGCTTTCAGTAGAGCTTAGAGCTAAATGCCATGTAACTGGAATGATCTATTTCATTTTCCTACAGAAATCACTTTCTGCATTTTTGTACTTTCTCATCAGGTAACTGGGATCATGCTTTGCTATATTCTGCTGAAAGTAACAAATGAAGACTATGATATCATTGAACAAGCTTAAGAAGACAATATTCATTTTGTGACTGCAAAACTGAATTGAAATTGAAATATAATTTTTTCCCAATTACGAAGAGCACCAAATAAAATGTTCTAAAACACAATTGTTGCATTGGTATTATTCTTCCCTCCTATTTTCGTGACCCCTATGGATTCTGCCTTGCTAAAGGCAATCTGCAAATATTTAAATTGCTAAAATGTTGAGATCCTACTTTACACAGGACAATCCCACTCAAATTTCCATGTAGATACAGTAACTCTCTTGTATTCAGTAGGGTATGTATAGGATGACAATCTTTAAAAAGAAGTGTGGGTTCAATACACTCAGACAACTGGGGTGTATAATAATTAGCAAGACAAAGCCTGGTTGGTTAGGTAAATGAATGTACAAGTATTGCTTAGCTGGGCACTTAAAGGAACTCTGCTAGTCATATAAATAGCAAGGAAAAATGGTAGATGGTAACATACTAAGAAGTAAAGTCAATCGAAATTTACACAGATATAGCCATGCAATTTTCTTGGAATAAAATGGGAATTTACCTCCTCAAAAATTTCAGCAATGGCAATCTATCCCACACTTGTTTTTTAGACTTGCGTCTACTTAGCTTTCTAGATCAATCAAAGTTGATCAGATGTTGCCTAAAATGCTTCATTAATGTAAAGACAACTAATAAGCTGGTGAACATTGTTACATAATTTATAGTGTTTTTAGATAGCACCAACCTAAAGTGATATTTTAATGACAATAAATCCCTTCAAAGTACTGGAGTAAATTAATAAACTCCAACTTCAAAAGCCAAGTATAGTGCAATATGTAAATAATACATAAAGGACATCCTAAACCCATTCTTGTAATCTAGTGCAGATGCTTAAATTTTGAGTAAACATAAACGAGGGACATTCCTTCTCCTTTGCAGAAACAAGGTCAGCTATCTCCCATATTAATCTCTCTGAAATGAAGCCAGGCTCCTTAAAGTGACTTGGATCATAAATTCCACTTTTGACCTTCAAAGGAAATTGTTTCAAATCACTTGCTATTTTCACTCTTGTTTTCTACCATTACTTTTCTGGGTAGAAATTCCAAACCCAGATTATTAGAAAATATCTATACTAATGTCCCCCCAAAAGAACTGCACCGGCTGTAGAATTTCCTTTATGGGGCTAAATTAATGCCTTAGCATTTCTCCTTACTGGCCTCCTGGAAAATATTCATTTGTTTTAAGTATTTGAAGAAGTCTGCAAATCTATCTGCTAATCAACTAGAAGGGTGGAGAGGATCTACTGTTTTGTTATAGCAACAATTTTTAAAGGAACACTAGAGTAAAGCATCTGATGTGTGTATGAGTCAGAGATATTAAACAAATGTGTTTTTAGAGAAGACAAAGCAGTCTGAAGAGATTGGTGGTAATTCCATAGATTGTGAACTGCAAACAGAAGTTAAGGTTTCCTAAATTCTGGATTTCTATATTTAGCACCAAAAATCCAGGTGGAATTGTCTAGCATTTTAGTTTTCAGAGAAAGAGCCCATTTCTGTTTCTAAGATGGTGATACAATTATGGCTGATGCTGGTGAAATATTTTTGAAGGTGATTTTTGTCAACTATAGTTTCACTATGGATAGGATTGGATTGGTGCTTCTGGGCATAGATGTAGATTAGGCATCCATGAGCAAAGCTCGAAGTAATTACACTCCTAGCTATCAAACTGAAAGACATTTTCCTCTATTAAGAATTAGTGGAACTCTACAATTGCTTAAATCACCAGTCAGGAGTAGCTGGGAAATTACAAACCTGTCAGTATAATGACCATACTGGATAAAGGCATCTAAACAGATTAACAAGCAGCACATTTATCAGTGCTTAGATAAGGATGCTACAATTAACAGGAACCAGCATGGGTTTGTTTTCTCTTTATCTATCTATCTATCTATCTATCTATCTATCTATCTATCTATCTATCTATCTATCTATCTATCT